GCATTTGCTTTATATATATGCTTCAGTCCTCAAATAGGAGTGGAGTTTTATTCAACGAGATATAAATATGATTAGTGATGCATCAAATAATTTAAAATACAGAAGGTGACAGCAAAAGTGATACACAAAAACACACATGCACACACATAAACACAGTGGATGTACAATAAATAGGTTTAAGTTACAGCACTATGGTTTGATGATTACAATAAAGCGAACATTTCAAACAAGAATTTAATTGTAGTTTATATTGTAATCCTGCAGTCACATTGTTAACACTGTTCCTTTGTGAAAAGGCTCAGTGACAACATCTTAGTTGTCCAGATCAAGCTTTGTTCTTAACCAGCTCCTTCCTGACCTGGTTTAGATAAATTTGCCTTGTACTATTATACTGAATACTTTGTATAGCTCCCAAAGCTTTGGAGGTAGAAACTTTAAGAGTCGACAAACCAGTCTGTACTCTGACTGACAATTTTGCAAGCGCAATGAAAATAAACAGAGGTATTTAGTGACTTTGAGGGATAACTTGACTGTATACTTCAGTAACTCTACCAGAGTTAACCAGGGAGAAACATGTGAGCAATTTTTCCTCTGGCATGGACAGGGAGCCTCCACAATTCAAAACAGTTATTTAATCCCTAGCTGTCTCTAGAACTGGTCTCCAGCTAAATCAAGTGTAGGTCCACAAATTGGAAAAGGGCTTATTAGAGAGCTGCATTTACCACGTACATATTCTTGGTCAGTTTTGCCCTTGCAGCACATATTCCCAGCAGAGTGAGTAATCTTGGGTCACTGAGTGAACTCTGAATTCTTTTGATCTTGAAGACCACTATGCCAGAAAACACCCTCATATCTATATCATAATCTCCTTCTTTTACCAACTCAGCAGAAAAAGTGACCGCAGAATTAAAACATATGTTTAAAATTAACAAACAGGCATTTCACAGGCATACAACAAGCTACAATTCGCCATCAAACAATCAAAGGTCCGTCATGTGGCTGGTTTTACATCAGTCGGTCCGGAGCTCAATAAATCATCCTTGAGGCAGAAATAAAGCTTCAACTGAATAAGAACATTTATACACGTATTCAAAATGTGTCACCTGGCATTCAGTGTTTGGGCTGGTGCTCATTGTTAACTCATATTGTTCATCCTCACACCTCCTCGCCCATTTTCTGGATTAAAGCTTATACTAATCAATTGACATTAGCAAGTACAACAACAAAATTGGGAGTACAAATCTTGTTACTGAAGCTTTATCAACAGCCATCGTGGCTGAGCATAAGGAAAAGTGAACCGAAAACGTTTTATCTTTGAAAAGGCAACATAGGTATGGAATTCAGGAAAAGGGACTGTGAGGATCTTGCACAATTTGACATCGGAAATGGGAGATATTGAAGGCCCTGTCGAGCTTAAAAACAGACAGATCCCCTAGCCCGGATGAATTGCATCCCTGTGGGAGGTGAAGTAGGAAATTGCAGGGGCTCTGACATGAATTTTTAATTCCTATCTGGCCATGGGAGAGATGCCAGAGGACTGGAGGATGGCTAATGTAATTCCACTTTATAAGCAGGGTGGCAGAGATGAACCAGGAAATTACAGAGCAGTGAGTCTCATGTTAGTTGTAGGGAAACTATTGGAGAAAATTTGGTAGGAGCGACTTAATACCCCTTGGAAAGGCATAGGTTAATTAAGGATAGTCAGCATGGCTTTGTCAGAGGGAGGTCATGTCTAACAAGTTTGTTAGAATTTTTAAAAATGTGATTAAGTGTGTGCTTGAGGAAAGTTCAGCTGATGTGGTTTATATGGACTTTAGCAAAACTTTTGACAAGGTCCCACATGGAAACTGAATTCTGGGAAACTTGGAGAGATGGATTAGAAACTGGCATAGTAATAAGACAAAGTATAGTGGGTAGAAGGTTGTTTAAATGACTGCAGGCTGGTGTCCAGTGGTGAACCACAAGGATCAGTACTGGGTCCCTTATTGTTTGTTATATACATAAAAGATATAGATGAAAATGTAGGGGGAATGTTAAGAAAATTTGCCAATGACACGAAAATTGGTAGAGTGGTTAAGAGTGAAGAAGATGGTTGTAGGTTACAGGAAGCTATAGATGAGTTGGTCAGATGAGCAGATCAGTGGCAGATAGTATTTGACCCTGATAACTACGAGGTGATGCACTTTGGAAGAAACAAGATGAGGGAGTATATAAGGGATGGCAGGACATTGGGTAGCTTAGAGGAACAGAGGGATCTTAGAGTAATTATTCACAGATCCCTGAAGTCGGCAGAGCACGTGAATAGGATGGTTAAGAAGGCATATGGGACACTTCCTTTCATCAGTTGTGGCATAGAGTATAAGAGCAAGGAGGTAATGTTGGAGTTATACAGAGTGTTAGTCAGGCCACAGCTGGAATATTGTGTGTAGTTCTGGTCACCTCACCACAGGAACGATGTGATTGCACTTAGTACAGAGCAGGTTCACCAGGATGTTGTCTGGCATGGAGAAACTGAGCTATAAGGAGATACTAGATATGCTTGGATTGTTTCCTCTAGAGCAGAAAAGATTGAGGGGAGGCATGATTGAGGTATGTAAGATTATGAGGGGTTTGGACAGGCTGAGTAGAGAGCAGCTGTTTCCCTTGGTTGAGGGGTCTATCACAAGATGGTATACTTTTAGGGTAAGGGACAGGAGATTCAGAGGGGACTTGGGGGAAAAAGTCTTTTTCATTCAGAGGGTGGTAGAAGTTTGGAATGTACTGCCTGGGAAGGTAGTGGAGGCTGGAAACCTTACAACCTTTAAAAAATATTTGGACGAGCACTTTAAATATCATAACATTCAAGAATATGAGACAAGTGCAGGAAATTTGGATTAGCACATCTTTAGTGGTAGTTATGTTGGTGCAGACTTGATGGGCTGAAGGGCTGTTTCTGCACTGTATAAATCTATGAATTTATCAACGACGATAGGAACATTAAGTGAAAACACAAGGGGGCTGAAAGAAAGAGAAAAAACTCTTAATGAGGAGAAAACATTTTGAAGGCTAGTTGCTTTAGATTTGTTTGCATGCCTCCAAAAGAATTATTGTATTCTGTTGGCAGAAATAAGGTAAGGAAAATTAGAGCCCATCCACAAGCATTGCCAGGCACAACTTTGGTGAAACATACAAAAGAAAATACTGCAGATGTTGGAAATCTGAAATAAGAATAAAAGAAGCCTGGTAAAACTTGGCTGGTCAGGCAGCATCTTTGGAAAGAAGCAGAGGTATTGCCTAGGATATAAACACACAAACACACACACACGGACACACACACACACACACACACACACTCACACA